TGGAGCGGAATCTTTCCAAACAGACTGAGGAAGAAAGACTTATATAAAGTTACCGGGTAATACTTTGCCATGCGTGGATATTCAAAAAACCACAACAGACAAAACTGTTTTTCCTCTCATGGTAAAAAAACAAGGAGATTTTAACATTAAAAACTAGAAAGAACATGTAACAAACCATAAATATCAAAAAATGTCTGCTGACATAAACATGATCTTGTCTTTATTTTCCTCACAATATGAGGCACCAGTGCAAACTGTCACAGACAGGTGCAGGGTCTGAGAACAACTGCATTCCATCGGAGCCATGAGGGGCTATTGCTGAAATCTATCCCTTTGGACCCTCCACACCTCCATATACTCCAGTCTGTTACAAGGCGGTCGCTGCTCCTATCTAACTCTCTCTACCTGCCATTGTCTCCCCAAAACAATAAAAAGTGGAGAAAAGTTATTCATAGATTTAAAAAATTTTTTCTACAGAACTTCTCCCAAGACACCAACATATTTTTGATACTGATCCCTTTGTAAAGACATTTTAAAATTCTCTTTAAAGTAGCAAAGATGGTGCCCGTGAATACCCAAGCTTCACAAAAAGCCGATCCTATGAGTGACTGTAACAGCACCTGAAATTTCACACACAGCCTCCCGCAGTGCACACCTTTTCCCAGCTGGTGAGGCAATCATAATCCCCTTCTCAGAGAAGCCCTGGGAATACAGTTCATGTTTTTCAGCAATTTTAAACTCTCTGGCTGCAGGAGTCTGCTCTATGAATTGCAAACTAACCCCTTCAAAAGCACAGAGCCTTCATTTTAATTTCACATTTCTTCTTGCCAGGAGAAAAGCATTTTTTTCAGGAAAGAGCAATAACATCTTGTGCCTAAACTCCATGAATTTAATTGTTCGGAAAGTATTTTCATAGTACTTATCTTTCTAGCATTTCCTAGTGTTCTTTGGAAAGCTTTGCGAATGCAGAAGGGCATAAATTTACTCAGCAAAGTACCATAAACTCTCAACTACCCGACACAGTAAGGAAATGTGGCATTCAAATATTCACATTGAAAAGGTCACCCAACATTAATTATGCTTCAAAAAAGGATTAAAAAGTCACTCTACTGGCGATTTATGGACAAAAAAGTTTCTAAGAATTACAGCACCATAAAGTATACCTAATAAACCCGGGTGAATGCTGTTTAATCTTTGCGATGATTAAGGAGGGTAGCAAGGAGCTGCACCATAAACAGGATTTCTCCTGGCACTACAACAGCATGCCAATTAGCAGGGAATTCTAGTTGAAGACATGCCAGGTGACAGTTGACTGTATTATTTGTACTAAAGTAGAATTCAGCTTTTAAACAACTGCCTTTGAGGCCAGACAGCCCTGCACTTGGATGTTGGCCTTCCATTTCCCAGCTGAGGGTCCAGGGCAAGTTTCTCAAGATCTCAAAGGTTCCTCTCCTCCCTGTAAAAACTCCTCTGCGGGAAGAATGGATTCTCTCTCTGGCTCCGTCAGTGACAAGGGGTACAAAGTCTGACCTGGCCTCAGTACTGCTTTTGTGAGGAAGGGAAGGAACCACCCAAACAAACTAACAATGTGAGGTTATTAGGACTGACAAGTTGCTCTCTGACAGATCTGAATTCTGGGGGTAACTGCCATAGAATTGTTTAAAATATCTGGGAAGAGGAAAGTCAGGTGGGTGGGGCAAAGAAAATTAAAAAGAGGTCTTCATTACATAGAAACTATCCTTTCCATTCTATTAAAAAATAAAAACCAAAAAAACTAGTCTCCCTGAAAATATAAAGGCTTGGAGCGCCCCCATGAGATGGATTATCTGAATTTCATCCTTAGTACTGGTTTCCAGTCCAGTAGAAATAGACACAATAGTTTGAGAAAATACATAGGATTTTATTTATTTATTTTTTTAAAAGATTTTATTTATTTATCTTTAGAGAGGAAGGGAAGGAGAGAGGGAAAGAAATATCAATGTATGGTTGCCTCTGCTGCGTACCCTGCTGGGAACTGGCCTGCAACCCAGGCATGTGCCCTGACTGGGAATCGAACCATGATCCTTTGCTTTGCAGGCCTGCGCTCAATTCACTGATCTACACCAGCCAGGGCAAATTTTAAAGAGAGCTTTTATATTCCCGTTGAATTTTTTATTTCTCTTAGGAAATTCTAAGTTATCCACATCAATGTTCTTAAATATCTTCATAATGTATTTGGTAATTCCATCTGGTATTTTTAAATGCTTAGTGTTTAATTAAGCGATTTGGAGATCATCACAACACCAAGTCTATGAGATTTCACAGGATGGTCAGGCTGCAAGCATGAAGAACAAAGTCAAGCATTACTATGAAATGCTTAGTACTCTCTACAATTAATAACTACCAAGATATTATTATTAGAGAAGAGTAAAAGTTCCTAATTTCTATCTTTTGTGTGCTATATATTCAGCACATAAATTCTGTGAGAAGACTAATAATTGGTTACCTTAATGAAAGTTAGCAAATACATAGTTGTTAGCATTGTATTATATAATAATACTTAAGTTACCTTTCTAATATATGTGGTTTAGGTAACAATAAAATGAATTCACACACCTTTGACTTCATGTGCAGACTTCCTAATACTTAGTACCAAAAGTGGAAAAAATAGCCATACCAACCTGAAACTAGTTGGTCTATATATTAAGATTTGTTGATTTTAATAAAATAAAAACTCCTATTATAAGAGACTAACTGCAGTAACAAATGATACCACATCTCCATGTGGGGGCCGCTCTGCCTGGTTTCAGGAATTGTAACTAACTCCCATGGCTAAGGATGAGTGAGCGACCTCCAGATCGCAAGCCACAGGAGACAAAAGCTTGTCTCTGGTAGCAAACTCCACCTCAGCCCCCAAAGCTTGGTTGATGTTGATGACAGTACGACTCCTCACAGCGAGGGGCAACCTAAGCCAGACTGGATCACTTGGGAGGCCATCATGGCTGGACTCAGGGGGATGTGACGAAGAGGGAGCAATGGATCCTTGCCCCCTGGCTATGTGACATAGCCCGAGTCCCCAATGTCCTCTGGGAGAAGCGCTTCCTGGCTCTAATGCCCTTAAGCCTGAAAACCTGATGGGGAGGAGGTGCAGCTCCTTCTTGCCTTGCTAGTATCGGGGAGAAATCTGGCATAAGACAGAATTCCTAAAAATTCTGTGAAACCTGCTTTGATAAGAATGCTTTCATTCATATGTTAAGGGTCCGAGCAGGAAATTGAGTATGTCTCCCAAAGTTTGTGCAAACCCCCTTTCCTGACAGACACTGACTCAGACTAAGCCCTCAGATTTCTTTAAAATGTTATCTACTGTTTGATCCTTGCTGCCCTGCATTCCTGTGTATTACAATCCAATAAAAGCCCCTGGAGGAAGGGGTTCCTGGCCTTTTTCCTTTGAGAAACTGGCCACTTCTCCTCCCCAAGCAGATCATGTCTTGGTAGTGTTTACTTTCATCCATGGCGGGAGACTTTTGGGCAAAGTTGGCCCCACAGAGGGTAAAGTTACAAACTAAATGTATCAAGAATATTCCAATTAAAAAAATAAGGTCCCTCTTGCTTATGGAAATTAAACTTTTTCAAACTTTAGTGGGTTAATAACTGAATATTTGGAAAACCATGCACCTAATCTATTTTTTAAAGATTTTATTTATTTATTTTTAGAGAAGGGAAAAGGAGGGAGAAAAGAAAGGGAGAAACATCGAATCATTGCCTCTTGCACACCCACAACTGGGGACCTGGCCTGCAAGCCAGGCAAGCACCCTGATTAAGAACTGAACCAGCAACCTTTTGGTTCGCAGGTCCACATTCAATTCACTGAGCCACACCAGCCAGGGCATGCACCTAATCTAAAGCAACTTCCTGGTGCCATGAAGGATTACGCTTAGGAAAAAATTTTTTAGCATTTTCTATTTTTTGGTCTAAAATACTATATCCCACATTTCTCCATATCTACAAGTAGACAGAGCCGTAGCCGGTACGGCTCAGCTGACGCGGTGAAGTCCCACAAACAGAAGTGTCGCAAGTTGATTCCCAGTCCAGGTGTACAAGGGGCCACCAGTGTCTCCCTCTCTTTCTCCATCCCTTCCCCTCTCTCTAAACCCTCTCTTCCTCCCTCTCTCCCTAAAAACAATGAAGAAATATCCTAGGGTAAGGATAAATAAATAAAAGTGGGCAGTAACAACTGTTTCCTGAGATACTAAAATTTTGGATTTGAGTATGAACTACTGACAATTTTAAGAAATGAAATGATCAGGTTGAGGTCAGTTTTCAAACCCATATAAACTCGGGTTTAAAGGATTCATTTAGTTAATAGGGTACATGTACTTTGCTAAATTGATCAGATTATGAATTTCTTAAAAAAATGTTTTACTATTTGACAGTGTTGGTGAAAGACTGAGCTAATGACAGACTTGCTACAAGCAACTGCCCTGCCCCTCAAATTCCCAAACCCGAGGCAATGTCTATACACTATGGAAGAATCTTAAGGCAAACAAGTTACATCTCAATAATCTACATAAGCAGGGGAAAAAATGTGTGGTTTCTACTGGTACTTGGCTCTCAGAAAATAAATAGATCATTCAAAATTCTGGAAACTCCAGAAGTGGAATCACTGCCTAGGATTGTCACAACAGTTTTCCCACGGGAGCAGTGGCTGACCGTCTTCAAGGCGTCTAGACGGGGCAATGCGGGGCTCTGTGTAAACACAGCGCAGACAGCATTAGCTCCCTGCGCTGTAAAGGGTACACCCAAGTAAGTCCATTCCTTCAGTGTCTTGCTTCGCCAGCATACTCACTGTAACACATGTAACAGACACTTAAAACAGAAATCAAGATTATAGGCAATACTTTGGAAACCAGGTCTTCCTCAAGCTGTGGAAAAATCTGGGTGGTCCAGATTCTTTCCTTTCTTAAAATATGACTGTTTTTCCTCCCACTCTAGAAAAGAGGTGGAAATGTTTACATGGATACATCTGATGTGTTGACACAGCTCTTAGCAATAAGTCCTTCAAAAGGGCGATCTTTTCCTTCAGATTCTGCAACAAAGCTCTGATTGTCACCGTAAGCTGAAAAGAAAAGAACACATTCTAAGTATGCTAGTCCAGAGGGACAGGATCTACTAAAAGTATCACATAAACACTGCTTTATGTACTATGATTCAGTCAAGGGAGGGCAGGAAGAGACACTCAGCCAGCCTCCCAAGGACAAGCTCAGGGTCGAAGGAATCTTAATGGTCATTGGACAACCTGACCAGGTGGTAAGCCACTCCAGATCTGAACACCGACAGTGACTGGGAACTGTCACTTTGCCCTCACTGTCTACTGAACCCTGTCTCCTGAGAACAGACCCTCTGATACTGTCTGCCTTGAAGAAGTTCAGAAAACTACTCCCCAGGCTTCGTTCTCCCAGGTGAGAAATCCGCCACACACGCACCCCTGCTTCAAACGACAAGACGTCCAGGGCCACTGCCATCCCAGCCAGTGCTCTCTAAGCACACTGGTGTACTCACAGCTCACCTGAAGGTTTCAGAGCAGTATGTGTTTTGTATACAAGAGGAATGTTACCCACACATCACTCATTTCCCAGGATTGTATGAATTTTTCCCAATCATTCAACGAACCCAGAGGAAATGTTTGCTTGAGACTAAGTACTGCATTAAAAGATGAAGGAGGGGAGGGGAGAGAGAGTCTCAGAAATTCAGAAATATGGAAAATAAAATTGCCCATGTAAATTAAACAGTCAGCCATAGATGAAATCAGAGATATGTTTAACAAGACATACTATCACAAGTGTCATTTGCTATCTTGTTAAAAGCAGCAATTATATAACCACAGTGGGAGCAGGAACTCCCTCCTTAGATGAACGGCAGAACACGAGAAAAGGGCCAAGGGCTACACACATGAAGCAACCCTCAAAGGTATCAACAGCCCTGGCTGGGTGGCTAAGTTGGTTGGAGCGTCACCCCATACACCAAAAGGTTGTGGGTTCGATTCCTGATCAGGGCACATGCTTAGATTCTAGGTGTGGTCCCCAGCCAGGATGCATACAGGAAGCAACCAATAAGTGCTTCTCTCTAACATGGATGTTTCTCTCGCTCTTTCTCTCCCTCCCCTCTCTAAAAAATCAATAAAATACATATTCTTGGGTGAGGATTTAAAAAAAAAAGATATCAAGAGCCAAAGAAGGTTGAACCTTAACTATTCTAACACCTCTGGAAACCCCAGAAAAACCACCCACGTGGGGACACGGGGAAACGCCACGGAGACGGGGTTGCTCCTCGTTCAGACAGAGCTACACAAACAAGTAAAAAACCAACACGCACACACCCAAGCCTAACAAAAAGAGTCTACAAAATTAGACCAAACACCAAACACGTTCACGAGATGAAAGAGTATGCAGCCATTAAAAAGTATGACGAAAATCTAAATTTGTTAACATAGGATATCCATCATAATTAAAAGAAAAAACAATCAAGTCATAAAACAAAATGTTGTTTGTTTTATGACTAAATCCACTCAAAACAAAATCCACTCAAGGAAAAATAATCCAGGAACTAAATACATCAAAATGGCAAACTGGTTCTCTCTCAGTAGTGGGGTTTCATAATAATGCTAACAAAATGATTACTTTTATAATCAGGAAAAGTCTATTATCATAATTCGACAGAACCTGTCTGGAGGACGGAAAAAGCAGGCATGTCTAGCTCACAGCCCAAGCCAGCGCACCCTAGTAATGAGCACCGATGGGGACTACGGAGAGGAGGGGACCACGTGCCAGTCTCCTTTACGGGTTGTACATGTGAAAGCCTTTTTACATCAGCAAAGCAAATTCACAATTAAATTAAAAATTACAATATGCCATCACCAAGTAGAATTTATTCTAGTAGTTTAAGAATAGTTTGATGTTAGAAAATCGAACAAAGCTAATAGTGTTAATGATTAAAAGCAGAGTAAATATATGATTAATATGACATGGGAAAAATGAATTAAAAACAAAACAAAGTAAGAAAATTCTGAATGGAACAATGCTGCCTTAACTGCAATATTACTTAACTTTGGTCTAGTTCTAACGAATATAATAAGACAAGTTAAAGAAATACATAAGGAACAGAAAGGAGATAAAATTATCATTATTTACAGATTATTAATAGTTGATCTGGAAAAGTTAAATCAAATGAAAGATTACTAGAAACTGAAAAAGAATTCACTATGCCAATCAACCATAAAATGAAAAAAAATCAAGGCATTCCTAAATTCAGTTATAGCTAGGGAAAAATTTTTTAATTATTATTTTTAAATTTCATTAACAATATCAACAAGATGTAAAAATTATCTAGCACCATCTCTGGCATATAGTAACTTCAGGATGTACTGCTGACAGAATGAGTAAAAGGAAACACGCAATACTGTAAAAATGTAAATGCTCTCCAACGTATCTATAAATATACATCTATTCAAAATCCCATTTGAAGTTCTTTTATAGAGAGAGGTGGCAATTTGTGGCATAGCACAAAATTCTTTTTAATGGAGCTATGAAATAGCACTCTAAAAGAGGGAAAAATGAAAACACTATATAGAAATCCCATGAACAGGTGTAAAAAGGGGGACATTAAACAATCAGACATTAAATCTTTATTTAAAAAAACTACAAAAGTACGATGCTGGCAGTTACCGATGTCACTAGTGCAACAGAACAGAAGGTCCAGAAGTAGTGCAGATGTGTAAAGTTTCAGTGAATGAGCCCTGGCTGGTGTAGCTCAGTGGATTGAGCATGGGCCTGTGAACCAAAGGGTCATGGGTTCAATTCCCAGTCAGGGCACATGCCTGCGTTGCAGGCCAGGTCCACAGTAGGGGCCACATGAGAGGCAACCACACACTGATGTTTCTCTCCCTCTTTTTCTCCCTCCCTTCCCCTCTCTCTAAAAATAAATAAATAAAATCTTACAAAATAATAAAATAACATTTCAGTGAATGAAATACAGAATATTTCATATGTGGGAGGAGGTAATTAATGATTTAGCAAATGGGGGAAAAATCAGGTGCCTGGAATACACCAAAATAAAACTAAAATATTATAAAGATTCATGTTTAAAAAAATAAGAATAAAAGAAATTCTTAAGGTAGACATCAGATATAGACAGATATCCAAAGACATCAGCAAAGCCCGAATATTGATATTGAACTCAGAAACCAATGATTTGTTTTTACTTGTCTGCTAATGATACAAGTCACAATAATAATTATACTTGTCCTTTGTCTTTTTCTATATAACCCAACTGATTTTGATAACTGAACATGTATTAGATAACTGTTAATACTCTTTTTATGGCTTATGTAAACATACAAGATGCCAACCACAGAAAATGAGACAGAAGGCAAAACGTGGACCATGATAATTCACAGGACCAAACTGACGCAGTGTTTTTTCACAGTGAAGGCCGTGAGACCAGACTGCCCTCCATCCTTCCTGCCTCCCCCCAGATCCACAGTAACAGCGCTGCTCCACCCTCAGTGGTCAGATAAGACCACACTACATGACCAAAAGGCTGATCAGCAATGCATCCTTCAGACTGATTTATGACCAAAAGGGAAAACTGTGGATGAAAAAAAAACCGTTCTGTGGAAAGTAACCTCACAGCATGATCTGATGATAAATTACTAACTAGGTAGGTAGGTGATGGTCAGCAGTCATGCCCCAGGCCTATAGTTTCTTTTGTGAAAAGGGTTAAGCAAGCCCCGTCCACTGTCCTTGTGCATCTAAGTTAACACACTTTTGAAAAATCAGAAGTACTATCGCTGGAAGCAGGTATTAACCCTCAGGAGAGCAAATAATCTTGTTAACTATCCTGTAATCCAATCCCCACCTTGCTTTCTTCAGTCTTCCTTACACCCATTCCTTAACTTCAAATAAATTTTAAAAAGCTGTAAAATTTATTCTCTAGAGCATTTGATACATTGTTCTTTGACATATGTTGTCAGTTTGGCTCAAATAAACACTTATAAAAATTTTAGACAATTAAGAAAATTATTTATATAATCTCTGAGTGTGAAAGGCCTTTTCCCAATTTTTTAAAAAAATTTCAGTTATAGTTGAGATAAGATATCATATTAGTTTCAGGTGGGAAAATCCTTTCTAAGCATTAGCTGCCCTTCCTCTATAAGAAAAGACCAAAAATAAAATACTATCAATGAAAAGAACAGGAAAGCAACATACAACCAGAGACATTGAAATAAAGAACAACCTGACAGTAATTAGAGAGGAGGAGGAGGAGAGGGAATCTCCTCTCTACCTATAAGGAACAGGTATGAAGGACACATGGACAAAGCCCAAGAGGGTGGGTTAGAGGGTGGGAGGCAGGGATGGGTGGGGCAGGGGGGCTTCGTGAGGTGAAAATGGAGACAATTGTACACAAACAACAATAAAAAGAAAAAATACTGATAATTTCAAATAAAATTTAAAAACAAGTACATATTAAAAAATGTCATTTACAAAATCAAAAGCCAAACTAATAGAAAAATATTTATACCAAATATGCCAGATCAAGGCTTAATATAATTAAAATATATCGCAGAACACTTTAAAGTCAAGAAATAATAAATTAGGTTAAGGTACATATACATATACAGTCAATTCCTAAAGGATAAAATACAAACATCAAAAAAATATACAAAAAGATGTTTAGTAACATAAGGAACAAAAAAATGCATAGTAAACTATTGTATACTTTCAACTAACAGAGATAAAAGATCATCAGAAATGGGATAGAAATGTAATCCCATTAATATGTGTGTATATGTATATATGTGTGTATATATATCCCCCCCCCCCAAAAGAAGGCTGCCCTGGAATTTTATACAACCTAAATCCAGAAAGCATACATTGAGAAATTTACTCTAGTCTGGGCAATAATCCAGCCATACTGAAAACTCATTTATAATTATAAATAATCTAATTGCCCAAGAAGATGATACTGGTTAAATGAATCAGAGATCTAAATGTAAAAAAGCCCCAGAGCCAATACTTCTAAGCAACCATGAGATAGCCAACCTATCAGATGCACAGTTGAAAACACTGGTGATCAGGATGCTCACAGAACTGCTTGATTTTAGTCACATATTAGATGAACAAATGAAGGCTAAACTAAGAGAAATGAAGGGAAATGCACAGGACACCAATAGTGATGGGAAGGAAACTGGGACTCAAATCAATGGAGCGGACTACAGGGAAGAAAGAAATATTCAAACAGAACAGAATGAAGAAACAAGAATTCAAAAAAATGAGGAGAGGCTTAGGAACCTCCAGGACATCTTTAAATGTTCCAACATCTGAATTATAGGGATACCAAAAGGGTAAGAGGAACAGCAACAAGTGGAAAAGTTATCTGAACAAATAATAAAGGAGAACTTCCCCAATCTGGCAAAGGAAATAGACTTCCATGAAGTCCAGGAAGCTCAGAGAGGCCCAAAGAAGTTGGACCCAAGGAGGAACACACCAAAGCACATCATAATTATATTAGCCAAGATTAAAATGAAGGAGAGAATCCTAGAAGCAGCAAGAGATAAGGGGACAGTCACCTACAAAGGAGTCCCCATCAGACTGTCAGCTGATTTCTCAAAAGAGACCTTATAGGCAAGAAGGGGCTAGAAAAGTATTCCAAGTCATGAAAGACAAGGACCTACGTCCAAGATTGCTGTATTCAGCAAAACTTTCATTTAGAATGGAAGGGCAGATAAAGTGCTTCTCAGATAAGGCCAGGTTAAAGGAGTTCATCATCACCAAGCCCTTATTTTATGAAATGTTAAAGGGACTTATTTAAGAAGATAAAAAACAAATATACTAAAATGATAGCAAACTTACAATTACTAACAACGACACCTAAAATAAAAACAAACTAAGGAAACAACTGGAATAGGAACAGAACCACAGAAATGGAGATCACATAGAGGGGTAGCAACAGGGGAGTGGGAGAAGGAGAGGTGGGGAAAGATACAGAGAATAAGTAGCATAGACGGCAGGCAGAAAATAGATGGGGGGGGGCAAGAATAGTATGGGAAATGTAAAAGCTAAAGAACTTAAGACACATGGACATGAACTAAGGGTGGGGGGAATGTGGGAGGGAGAGGGTGTGCAGGGTGGAGGGGAATGAAGTGAGGAAATGGGACAACTGTAATAACATAATCAATAAAATATATTAAAAAAAAAGATACCATAAGCAAAGTTAAACAACACATGACAAAGTAAAGTTACACTACATAATAAATAGCTAATCTTGCTAATATATAACATGCTCTTGAAGACTAAAAGACCAACAATCCAAGAGAAATATGGGCAAAAGACAAGTGAGTCAACAGAAAAGAATATATATGTGTGTGTGTGTGTGTATGTATGTATGTTAAAATTGTGCTTAAGCATGTGAAACATATGCTTCACATGAATCATAGTATGAAAATTCCTAATTAAAACTACTCTGAAATATTCTGTCTCACTTATCAGATGGGCAACAATTGAGGAGAACGACCATGCCCCACTGAGCAGCCTGTGGAGACACACACTCCCACACAGTGCTGGCAGGGGCGCCCAAAGAGACAACCCCTGTGGAAGGGAATCTGGCAATAAGGAAAAAAATAAATTATATATGCCTTGGTTCTGAGAATTCGCCCATAAAAGACACTACCACAAATACAAAAAAAAGCACAAAGCTATTTACTGCGGCATTACTCACAACAGCAAAGACTGCAAACAATCTACATGCCCAACCTTAGAAGAGGATTAAATTAACTAAGGTACATCTACACATCAAATACTATACAGTCCTAATGAATTAATGTGGAAAGATTTCTATATATATTTTTAAAAAGAGCAAGACAGCAAGATTACAAAATCACTTCATTTAAAAGAGAAAATACACACACATGCTTATTTCTGCAAAAAGTAATACAAGAAGAATAAACCAGAAATTAATGAAAATGGTTACTTATAAAAAGGAGGTGAAAAAGTATGAGACAGGAACAAAACTTTGAGTGTACCTTTGTATATAATTTTGCCTTTTTATCAGTTTAAATGTTTTACATATTTAAAACTAAATCAACAAGTTGGAGGGAAGTAAACCCTAAAAATGAATATAGACAGAAACAAAAAAAAAAGAAAGTAGAGCCTAAGACAAAGTAAAATTCAATTTTTAGATATTTAAATGTAACATGTAAAAAAGACCCATTCTTTTGGTGCGAGTCTACACTCAGAGAAATGAGGGCATTGCCTTCGGTCCAGCAAAGACATGCTATCTGGGGGGAAGAGTGCCAACCCTGGAATAGACTACAATTGTTAGAAACTTGTAAAATAAAACAGAGGAAATTAAAGAAATTCCATGCCTCAACCAGCCTCAGTGACTAAGTAACTCTTAATTGTTTGGTTGTAATGTCAATCCAACAAACATGAGCATAAAAGCCATCAACATGCAGACATGTACATACACTGTCCTTGCACACACACATACACACCCTTGTGCAAACAGAAGGGTTTTCAGACCTCAAAACTCAAACAAGTCACTTCAAGTACTGATTCTCTCCTGGTCTTACCCTGGTTGTATTTTCACCATTTCTTTCATACTGGTTTCGTTGTTGAATTTTCTCAGCAATCTCTTGTGCAATTTGGCAAGTAGAATCAAATGTGGAGAACCTGTGTAAAAGTCATAAGGGGAGGAAAATGTTTAAGTTACTTTAAAAAATATCTGCAATATATATTTATATATTACATATATGAATGTATACATATATACTTCATGTATATGAAAAAGCAGGTGATATGAGACATTACATAATTAAGAAAACAGGAGGGAGGCTCATAAGGAAAACTGGGTCCTGGTCCCAGCTGTGCCACATTGCCTCTTCCATATTGTCATCTATAAAAAGAATAACTTAGTGGAAGTATCACACTCCCTAACCAAAAATACTACAAAGCTACAATAATCAAAACAATATGGTACTGGCCGAAAAACAGATACACAAACCAATGGAACGGAACTGAGAGCTGAGAAGTAAACCCACATGTATGTGGGCAACTAATTTTTCACAAGGGAACCAAAAACATACAATGGAGAAAAGAAAACCTCTTCAATAAATGGTGCTGGGAAAATTGGAAAGCCACGCGCGTAAGAATAAAACTACACTGCTATTTAATATCATACACAAAAATTAACACAAAATGGATAAAGTATTTACATATAAGACCTGAAACAATAAAATACATGAAGAAAACTAAATTTATGAACTAAACTTATCGTACTAAACTTATGAACCTTAGGCTCAGAGAAGATTTTATGAATTTGACCCCAATGCAAGGGAGGTAAAACCAAAAGTAAATAAATAGGACTATATCAAACTAAAAAGCTTGTGCACAGCAAAAAAAAAAGTCCATCAAGAAAACAAAAGACAACCAATCCAATGGGAGAAGATATTTGCAAAGAATACCTCCAATAAGAAGCTAATATCTAAAATACATAAAGAACTCACTCATACACTGAACAACAAAAACAAACAATCCAATTTAAAAAATGAGCAGAGGACACGAACAGGCACTTTTCCCCAGAAGACAAAGGCAGAGAGATATATGAAAAACGCTCAACTTCACTTGGTATAAGGAAAATACAAATCGAAACCACAATGAGATACCCCCTCACACATGTTAGAATGTCTATTATCAACAAGACAAGTGATAAGTGTTGGAGAGGATGTGAAGAAAAAGGAACCCTCATTCAATGCTGACGGGAATATAAACTGGTATAGCCACTGTGGAAAGCAATATGAAGGTTCCTCAAAAAATTAAGAATGGAACTACCATATAGTCCAGAAATTCCTCTTGTAGGTATCTACCTGAGAAATTTAAAAACATTTATAAAGATATATGTAACCCTATGTTCATTGCAGCACTATTCATGGTTGCCCAGACATTAAAAACAACCTAAGCACTGTTCAATGAATAACTGGCCAAAGCTATGGTACATATATGCAATGGAATACTATTCAGCCCTAAGAAAAGATGAAATACTGGCATCTGTGACAACATGGATCAATCCTGAGACTATCATGATAAGAGAAGTCAGGTGGAAAAGGCCAAAAACAATATGATTCCACTCACGTGTGAGATGTGAAACAGAAAGCAACAAATGAACAAATAAAACAAACAAAAACACTCACAGTCAACAGTATGGTGGCTACCAGAGAGGAAGGGGAGTTATGGGGAGACTAAAGAGGATAAAGGGGTCAGATATATGTTGAAGGAAGACCACCAGAATTTGGATGGTGATCACACTATGCAATATACACATGATATATTACAGAACTAATTGTACACTTAAAAGTTACAGAATTGTACTAATGAATATTACCCCAATAAGTTTAATTTTGAAAAAATTTTGAGAGGGATCCATACTGATGGCAGACTAGGTGGAAGGTACACTCGTTTCCTCCCAGGCCCAAACTGGTAATACAACTAAATATAGAACGATCAGCCTGAACACCAACTGAAGACCAGCTGAACGGAAGTCTTGTAACCAAGGATTTACAGAAGAAGCCACGATGAGACTGGTAGGAAGGGCAGAAACTTGAAAAGGGCTGGCTCTGCTCCTCTGAGCACAGGCTGAGATTCCAGAGGAGTATCTAAGCTGCAAAGGTTCCCCTTGAGGAGCGTGGGGCCTCAACCTCACACTGGGCTCCTCAGCCCAGAGCACGGAAGCTGAGAAGAGGCATGCGTAAACATCTGGCTGTGAAAATTAGCAGAGATCTGCCAGGGAGAGAAAGGAGTCTGCTAGAGAAACAGCTGCCCTCTTAAAGAGCCAGCACACAAAATCTTGTTCACAAGATCCAGGATCATTCACCCTGGAATCCCATGGAGGGAGGGCGGAATGCACTAGACTTGTGTGAGGAGGGGCTGGGTTGTATGGCTCAGGGGAGAGAGCTGAAGGGACAGCTGCCGGGATCCCTATGCTGAGTCCCTCTTCTACCCCGGAGGGGCCGCCCTTCATGAGTGGGGCACTCCCCTCCTTATGGCATCAGCCTGGGGGAAGGAAACAGCCACACCCTCTGGACTCCCTGGTGCCCCACCCAGCTGAGCTCTGACCCCACTGAGGAGGCAGCTGTCGGGTCCTGGGTGTAGAGTTCTGGGCAGACTCAGGGGGCATCAGTGACTGAGTAGTGTGGTTTTGGGGTGAAGGCCATTCTACCCACTTTCCTGTAAACCTGTCCAGTGCCTCCCCTCATAGGAGATCCACTAGCCTCACCCTCCCAACTCCTGATAGCAAGGGATGGGGTAGGGGCAGGAGGAGGAGACGGGTCCGTTCCCCAGGAGGTCTGTGCAGAATCCAGGACAAAGTTGTGTGGCTCTGGTGCAGGGACCATACTCCACCCACCTTCCCCAAAGCTGACCAGTGCCTCCCACTCATTGAAGATCTACTAACCCCACCTCTCCCTGCACAACTCCTAGAAGCCCTGCCATGCTGAGCTCAAGCTCCCAAAAGAATCTGGAACAAACTGAGCTGCGTGGCTCTAAGACAGGGACCATTTTTCCCTTGCATATCCAACCAGTGCAAAACCCTCCTTCACACAGCCAAATCTTGGTCTGTTTGGCCTTGATAAATTCTGCTGGCCTCACCCTGATGACTCCTGAGACCCCACCCACCACAAAGGTCCGCAGGCACCCAGCCAGTGTGGCAGCTAGACTTGGTACACTGGCACTTCTATTGAGGGGCCTCAGACCCAGCACTGGCACCGCGTTTGAACCTCTATCAGTCCAGTGAACACCACTCACCCCTACCTAGTGACTCACTGAGAACCTATCCCACACAACTCAAGTACTGCCAGAGGCCCTTTCCGTGATTGAGCCTAACAGGCAGCCAGGAGGCAGACACAGGTGGAGATGGATTCTGGGGTGCCTGGGTCTTCTGAATACTCGTCCTCGGGCTTGGTGGTGGTGGAAGTCAGCCTTGTTGTGAAACTTGGTACTTTTCCCACACACCTAGGCCCAGCAGAAGCAGCCACAAACTGGGGATCACTTTCTAGCTCCAAACAGGTGTCTCAAAGCTAGTCCCAGGCAGCATCAGACATTGACCCACACCAGAGTCTCTCCCAAGAGGCCCCGGAACCAACAAACCCAGCAGCCAGCTCTAGACAACATCAGAGTGGAATGGAATTAGCCTCACTAGGAGCATACACAAAGAGAGATTTTAGCAGGCACCAGACTCTGCTGAGGCAAACTCCACTTTCTGTGGTCAGCACCTGCACAGCAGCTCTTACTTACACTGTGGTGGGGTTGGAACCTCAGTCACTCAGCCTGAGGGTCAACCGCACATGTGAACAAGCCAATAGCAATCAAGACTCAACTATAACGGGAGGGCTCACATAACCCACACGGGGAACATTCCTGGAGAACCCAGCTCAGGTGATTAAGGAAACTATGCCACAGGGTCCAACAGACCCCTACTACATAAGGCCAACTTACCAAGAGTGGGAAGTATAGCAGGTCTACCTAACATACAGAGACACAAAGGGGCAGCCAAAAGGGGGAGACAAAGAGTTGTGCTCCAAATGAAAGAAGAAATCTCTAGAAAAAGAGCTATATGAAATGCAGGCAAGTAATTACCAGAGTTCAAAACAATGGTTATAAGAATGCTCAAGGAACTTAGTGAGAACTTCAACAGCATGAAAAAGGACACAGAAACCATAAAAATGAATGAGTCAGAAATAAATAATACAATATCTGAAATGGAGAATACACTAGAAGGAGTCAATATCAGATTAGATGAAGCAGAGGATAAAATCAGTGATTTGGAAGATAAGATAGCAGCAAAAAGTGAAAAGGATTTTTAAAAATGAGGACAGTTTAAGGGACCTTTGGGACAACATCCACATCACAGAGGTACCAGGAGAAAAGAGAGAACAAGGGATTGAGAAGCTTTTTAAAGAAATAATGCCTGAAAACATCCCTAACCTGGTGGGACAATGAAAAAGACACACAAGTCCAGAAAGTGCAGGGAGTCACAAATAAGAGAAATGCACAGAGGATTACACAAAGATACATTATAATTAAAATGGCAAAAGTTAAAGACAAAGAGATAATCTTTTTTTATTGTTGTTCAATAAAGAGAGAATCTTCAAAGCATCAAGAGAAAGACAATTAATGACCTACAAGGAGCTCTCATAAGACTGTCACCTGATTTCTCGACAGAAACATTTCAGGCCGGAATAAAATGGCATAAAATATTCAAAGTGATGAAAAGCAAAGATATACAAATAAAACTACTCTACCCAGTAAGGCTATCATTTAAAATTGAAGAAGAAATAGAGAGATTCCCAGATGAGAAAAAGCTAAAGGAATTCATTACCACCAAACCAGTATTACAAGAAATATTAAAAGGTCTTTCTGAAAAAGAAAAATAAGAGGAATGTAATTATGAAGAATAAAATGGCAACTAATCTGTAGTGACCAATAATAAAATATCAAGGGCTTAAGTATTCCAATGAAAAGGCAAAGAGTAGCTGAGTGGGTAAGAAAACAAAATGCATATATATACTGTCTGCAAAAGACATACCTTAGAAATAAAGATGCACACAGACTAAAAACAACAGAAAAAGATATTTCATGCAAATAGAAATAAAAAATGTTGGGGTAGCAATACTTGTAAC